TATAAGAGTTTACTGAGGAGGCCTCTGACCTCTGCCAAAACCACCACGGAATTCAACCTCCCCAGTGCCAGCACCAACATCAGCCTTCTTGTCGGGACCACCAGCGGAACCAGGAGTCCGCCTGTATGCCTCTCTGTCAGCTGCTGTCTTTGAGCCCTCAGAGCGAGGGGCAGCAGTGCGGGGCCTGACAGGCTCAGGTCTGCTTTGACGTTTAAGGGTTGAGGGCACAATCTGCAACAATCATAAGAAAACTTTAGATAAACAATCTTAATTGTTTTCAAATTGACCTTTAAATGCAAAGTGAAAATCAGAGTGCAAGAACACCTGTCAAATCTCATACAAAACAAGAGTAGAATCATACAATCATAAATTGGATCCGTTGAAATAATCATAGACTTGACAAATGTTGAGGAAAATCAGTAAAGAGCAACAATAGAGTTAATTGACAGCCAGATCTCAGACACTGTTTAGAATCAGACATATCATAAATTGGATCCGGTGTAATAATCATAGATAAGGCTGAACCATTAATTTTCAGAAAGATTTGAAGGAAGTCTCATACGAAACGTTTCAGAATCACACACAATCATAAATTGGATCCGTTGTGATAATCATTGACTTCCTACAACCATCAGTAAAAAGGGTAGAGGTGCTCACCTCAGCTGGAAGGTGGAGGTAATCCCTCAGGTAACGAATACCCTCATTTGTGAGATACCAGTAATAGTGCCTCCACGCGAACTGCTCATTCACATAACCACGAGACTTCAAGCTCTGCAACAACAAAGTAAGTTTGGTTATAAAATTAGTTCGAACAATGAAACACCTTACTCATTGTCACTACATAAACAGAGTAATGTACATACCTGAAGGGCCTTGATGACATGGAGATTAGGGATGTTCAAGTCCGCTAAGTCAGGGTGCTTAGGTTCATGGAAGTCCTTCTTGGCAACCATGACTCCCTCCTTGAAGAGGTACTCATAGATGGCCACACGGTTCTTCTTTGGCATCAACATTCTGAAAAATAAAGCAAAGGGGTAACGTATTAAATCTGACTCCTACATACAATAACAATACTTCCAGCTACTAGCAGAAAAGAAGGTGCAATTGGAAATCGTGTGTACATGTGCGAAAAAAAGAGGCACATTATCGACTAGTAGGAAATAACAAAATCTGATGGATAGAACAAGACCAGCATGAAAACAATAACCTAACACCAAGTATGAACACAAGTGACAGCCAAACGCCAAGCAGAAAGGGAGATAACGCCAACCACTCATCAAAGAGAACGTAAAACATTGAACGAAAGTAACAAGCTCACGAAAGGCAAGAGAATAAACAACAAGGGTGTATCAGGCCGGAGATGGGGAACTCTAACCTCACGAACACTACATGTCTGAGGTACTTTGAACGACACAAATTCTGTTCAAAGAAGTGCGATGGAGACAAATATACTCAGAAAATAACCACGCACCTTCAAGAGATATGGGAAGCTATATTACACGATTATTGAAAGGTTGAGCAAGTTAAAACTGCACGCCGCTCGCGGAACAGACACGTCGCTGCGCCCGAGTTACACCGGCATTATAACTGACTTTAGATCGACACTGGGGCCAAGTGACGTATCACAGTAAACAACGACCAATTAAAATCTGAAATTCACACTACTTACGTCCCAAAATTAATGTTTGCACCTAGATGGAAAGGGATTACACTCACTTGATGGCTTGTGAAGGTTCGCGGATCTAGGAAGGTTGCTGGGCAAAGAGGAAGAAAAACAACGGATCCTCCTCTTTCTCTTGAACCGATGGCTGCTGTAAGAAGAGTTGGAGCGGCCAGGGTTTCAAAAGACTAAAGGTGACACAGTTATGAGGTTTTCACATGATAAATCAAACTAGTGTTTGTTTGTTTTTCATTTACTATAAAAAGAATTTAGTTTTGTTACCTAATTAACTAGAAAAAACGGTAAAAAGTAAAGGTTTGCACATGATTTTTTTTTTTTTAAATTAAGTGTTGGCATCACTTATATCAGCTGTCTTCTTCTCATTCATCTCACCCCCTCCCCCCTCCCCCCCCCTGTTATGGTATTTGTTATGTAGCAGAAAAACATTATTTTTAAAAAAACTTTGTTGTAACCTGTGGAACTGAGGAGTGTAAATTTTAAATGACATGGACCGATTCGAGTATTCAGACCCGCGTTTAGCGCACGGTGAAGAATTCCTAATGCGAGAGAATGGGGTTAAATTGTATGACGGTGACAGCAAGGTATTCGAGCTTTAATATGAAGTAGTGAAGCCTATTATTTTTGTCAGTCTCAATTCTTTTTCTACTCAGGCTCACTGCTCTTTTCTATTTGATTTCGTTGTGTTGTAGACGACATTTGAAGATGGTGAATTAGTTGTGAGCAATGCTCGGATCCTCTGGGGTAGGCCAGGCGACATTCCTCGTGGTCAAATGTGTGTATGTTTGCCATTATTTTATGTTGTGTTGGTTGAAGAAGAGCAACGTACGTTTAGTTTTAGCAGCAGTCGCAAATTTGTCCTACACCTCTCCGAGTCAAGACAAGGTAAAGTTCTGAAATTCTATTGGGGTATTTCAAAAATAACTCTTAAAGAACTACTTCTCCTTTGGTTCAAATTAAAACAGGAAATGTTTTTTTTACCATTTAACTATGGATGCTGTTACTTTTAAATTTTAGGAAAACCACAAGGCCCTGTGACATGGAGCCAACACAATTTTATAAAAATATCTTTTAAGGAAGGTCTTCATAATGATTTCCTTGGATTAATTCAAAATGCTCTGATGACTCGTGCCTGGGAAAGGCTGAGCGTTGCCCCTCCATCTGCATCTTCAAGCAGTCAGAACGTAGTATGCTGTGCTTCAGAATAAAACCCATCATCATATTCTATTACTGTAAATCATTTGTATTTTTAAAATTTGTATCTGCTTGCAGGCTGATAGGAAATGGAGAAGTGGTATTGTTGGAATTGAAAGGAAAATTGAAGAGAAGCACAAGGCAACAGATGAGAGTATATCATTGGCATTTCAAGATCTTAGTCGGTTAATGAATATGGCCAAAGATATGGTTGCTATATCCCGCAGTATATCTACCAAAATTCGGGTACTTGTCTACTTTAAAGCCACTGTCAGTTTTGTATTTTCTAAACTTATAAACAATTGGTTACTTACCTGATACTGGCTGTTTTGTAGGACAAGCAGGGAGACATAACTGAGGATGAGACTGTACGTTTCAAGTCATATCTGTTAAGTCTTGGCATTGATGACCCAGTAACCAGAGGAGCTTTTAGTAACCAGACTGAATATTTTAAAAGCCTTGCTAAACAATTAGCGCAAATGCTTGAAGAACCAATCAAGGTAAAATTGAATTACATTAATTTTCTAATTTGGAATGAGAACATGATTGGCTTGCATTATTTTATTTTATTTTTTGTTGTTGTAGGAAGTTGGTGGAATGATGTCCATGGCAGATGTGTACTGCCGTGTAAACAGAGCAAGAGGTCTAGAATTGCTCTCACCCGAGGACCTCATGTCTGCCTGCCGCTTGATGTCAACTCTTCAGCTTGGCTTATGTTTACGAACATTTGATAGTGGGGCAACTGTCCTACAGCTTAGTGACCATAATGACAGAATTATTATTGAAAACACAGCTGTTGCGGTAAGTAATTATGTCTCCCTATTGAATAACTATTGGTTGAATATTTCATTATGTGTATGCTTTCTCTTACAGCTTGAAGAAAGTGGTTCACTCTCTGCTACTGAGCTAGCAAAAATCTTGGGAATATCTGTTCTCTTAGCTAAAGAACGACTGCTTACAACAGAAAAACAGGGTAGAGCATGTAGAGATGAGAGTTTGGAGGGAATTCGCTTCTATTCAAATCTTTTCCTCACCAAAGAGGAATGACTCTGTATAGGTTAAAATATTATTAAATTTTAAAATTAAATTTATACAGTAACTATATCACAATTATTGTAAAGAAATATTTTGTCAGCACGTCAACTACATTTTCTAATCAGATTTGTTTCTGATGACACCTTAATCCGCACAAGCTTTCGAGTGTTTCCTTTTTTAGGTATTTTGGAGCTCATATTAAGAGTAAGGTTTCTTAAAACACTGAAAGATTTGTTGAATATGTAATGTTTACTTTACAACATAGCAATCACAATACACATGAATAACAGACTGAATGGAAACAGTTCAAATCATGCAAATTAGATATGTCTTATTAGTGAGAGCCAGTTTAGTGGCAAAAATAATAAAAACGACGGAAAATCACAGAAAATTAAGAACACGTGAGAGTTACAAAACCTACATTACATAAACGACTTCCAAGTCACAGCTCTTAACCAGTGCAAATGCATGATGAGTGATGCTGAAAAGTGGTTCCCTCACTTCCTTCCACCTGATGCATTGTAGGTATGGATCCTGAATTTAACTCTCAGATCAAGTGAAGATTTGCTGGGTGCGGTTTTGCAGTTTATTCAATGTGCTATGATAGAACAATAAGTTCGGTCATTGAAACAAACATCTCTGTAGATAATAATTTGTGCAAGTTGCTTTCAAACTGCAAAACATACGACCCCAACAATTCTTAAAAATTAGAAGAAAGAGGAAAAGAAACACATGAAAGTTACTCAAAGTTCTCTAGTTGAGGTTCTAGCTCATCTCAACAGCTTGGTGAAAATACAAAAAGAAAACAAAAAAAAACATTGTTGGCACATAAAAATTTTCCACTAGTCTAGCTTGATTAACATAGCATACATATAGTGATGAGCTATGGGTTTACAATAAAATGTTGATTATCTTCTAAATACAACACCTTCACATGCAATACAACACCCATAAAAACCAAGGTACCAAATGTACAACATGCAAGTCACACTTGGTGTGAAAAAAATAAAAACATGCAACAGGACCTACCGCAGACATATCCTCATAAATTTGAAGATTCTGAAGTATAATTAAGTGGTAGAAAGTCTGACTACTAAACTCATACAAGCAGCTAAGTAAGGCACTGGTAAGTGCATAACAATGAGTGCATGGCACAATGCCAGCATTTCAGCAGTAAATACATGGCATACACATGTACACAATACACGCATACATATAAACACACTTACACAAAACTTGAAGTAACAATGCAAGTGTTAGCAGAAAATATTGGATGTGGTTTACCCCATTAAAGCAAATCACAACCACTAACACATGCATGCAAGTATTTTGGAAGCTCAAAGGATCTGGTGCTTCAACTTTGGGTCAGATAGATATTGCTTTTGATAGATAGATATGTCACACTTCTAAAAAGACAAATATCACAGAAACAATAAGGACATAATTCCAAAAAGGCTAGTATATACAGCTGCTTTCTGAATTATGAAAAATTCTATCAAACAAATCAGTCATTATTCAAGATTATCTCAAACTTACTTTACGTTATCACTTCATTACACTTTATTAAGAAATTCCACTGGGAAGCTTGTAAAAGGTTGTCGGTAATTTACGAAATACTGTGATCATCACCATTGACAATCAAAACACAACCAAAGTAGATCACACCAGATCCCCAAAAAAGGTGAAACCTTATATGAGAAGGCTTATTTATTCAATAACTTTTTTCAACAGTAATGGTTGTAAAATTTATGTTATGAGTGCAGAGGTACATATCATTAACACCAGGTCATTCAGCTATGCCTTTGGATAGTTGTAATTCTATTCCCTAAAACAAGAATCAGTTTTATGAAATGCTCCATTAAGAAAAATATTGAGTGGATATTCCAAAAGCACTCAGAACAACTTTAAAAAGGGGGCATTGATCCTCTTTCAATGAAGCACAGCCAAAGCAAAGCAACAACATGCAACTCCACTCAAAGGTACTAACTACTTTTCCTTAAGCTCATAAGTGAAGAAAATCATAAGCAGTGTCTTCAGTTAAAAGTGAAAGGGGAGTAATTCATAGTAATCCACAAAACCAGACAATTAAATGTTCCTAAGCACACAAAGTAAAATCAGATAGTTGATAAAATATTTTTCTGATGGGAGTGCAACTGAAACTAAATACTGAAGCAGGACTAACACATCTCAAATTTGTGAAATAATGTGTTCAAGGCAGTACTTCTCAAGCACCCTACTAGAAACTTGGGTACAGTGACTTCAAGAAACACACCATGATAACATCATAAAACTCTTGTGGGAGAATTTGACACCAAATAAAAGCAACAAACAATACAGATAAATCTCTATCTTATTACAAAATAAAATTTACAAACATGTTCCTTAAGTTTGAGCTGGGAAAATAGTTTATGCTACAAATGAAAATAGTTCTAAAGTTAGATTGGAATGTCAAACAATTGAGGTAAACTATTTCCAACAAAGTGCACCTCTGAAAAGCTACAAGAGGATCACTATTTAAGTATGACATAATCACAGCTGATAAAACTTTAAAAAAAAAGAAATAAAAAAAAAAAATGTTTTTAAGTGGCAAAGAAAAATAAATTTTGTGATATTAAAGAAAATATTTTAAATCACACACAAAAGAAGAATCTTTTACCATACGGATTTTACATCAGTACATTCCAACCACCCACACACATGCATACACGCCACACATAACTATAAGAAAAATTTCAATCAAGAAAACAAAATTACAACTTGTACAAACTCACTCTGAAACTAAACAATGATCTAGCACGAAAACTTTACATTTCATGAACATATCTTTTCTCAAACTAGTAGGTGCCCAACAATTAGTAGGCAGCACTAATTTAGTTAACAGTCCTAGATTAGTACAATTCCCTAGTACATAAAATTTTAGGAGGAAAAGAAGATTGTTATGATCAGACCAGCTGTGCATGATAGATACCCTTCTAGATACCGGTTTGTAAAACAAACAAAAAATTACAGTACCAGAACAAGATAGTTCTAAGGTTGGAATTTAACCTTAGACTTTTTAGAATCCTCACCTCACTAAAAGACAAATCAAAAGTTTCTAAACACATATACTATGCGCAAATATGTATCAAAAGTTCTCCACAGACTTTGATAAGAAGCAACATGTCTCAGTAGTACAAAAATGTGTTCATAGGCAGGTGTGTGATTGGTGCCTCTCGAAAAATACAACGAATATGATTCAGTCAACAGACCAAACAAAGACAGCAACTTATGCTGTAACCAGCTAACCCTCCTAGTGTTTTAGCTCTAGCTAGGTTAAGTGGAAGTTATTTGAATGTGATCATGTTTGAAGCTCCTGACTTACAGCTTTTGCATAATGTTATCAGTGTGGTGCCGCAAGCACATAAATATTTCAAAAGGAAATTAGATATTGAACAGTTATGAACAGGCTAAATCAGGAATGCATGAGAAGAATTGCAACTGGTAGACATCAACAAATAACAGTGCAATTAAGCGTTAATCTTGTCTATGAACAAAGTTTATTTTAGATTATGAAAACAGGGTGATATAAAAATAATATATGACAAACAGAAGGAGGTCAAAACGGAAACATTGTCACATGGAGGCAAATTCAATCAAAATAATGTAATTGCCATTTCACTTAATTTATCAGTATATAAGAGCAATTTCATTGTCATATTATAAAAGATTTAAGTCAAACAAGGTTTATTTTTCTTTGCATGTCACAATTTTCTTTCACGATTTAATGGACAAATGAAGAAAACCGACCATAAATTCTCGGACTGAATTAAAAGCTATCACAAATTTGTTACATTCAACAAAAGAACTAATAAATATCTTAGATTGTAATATGCTATTAAGTAATCAATTTGCTAACTAAGGGCCATTACAGAAGTGTGCACTTGATTCATACAAGACTCGACAATATACTCTAACTAATGACAGTGATAATACAGACAAGGAATAAAATTCATCTATCAGTAACAAACGTTTAGGAACAATGAAAATTTGGCAACACTACCCTGATTTCATATGCTTGCTCACTTCTGCTCTGACCCTGCAGGATCAAAGACCACTGCACAATATGAAACATTAAGGTGATGGGAGAGGGTTGAATTGAGGATAGGATAGGAACTGCACATTGTCAGAACCTTGCCGAGACTCAGCAGAAACTACTGTCAATTGTTCCACCTATGAAAACTAAAAACAACAACAATAACTTGAATTAAGTTTATTAATTGTATATTATGAATCATACAAAACAAACTAAAATTGTCAATTTCAAGTCTTTTAGTAAAATAGAGAATGTAGTAAAATCACAGCTCAAGGGTGACATTCATTCAGTTCTGATGCAACTTTCATAACCATTCTTTTCGTATCATGGACAAATGAAATGAGCATGGTGACTAAAGATGATTTGTAGAGACTCTTGGCAAGGAACCTTTCATTGACTATACTGGAAAGTTTTCTCACACTGATTAAATCTCACTAGTAATCAATAAAAGACACCCTAATACATAAAAAAAATGATGATACTGGTAACCCACAAGGAAAACATTACCTATCTGAACATAAATCTTTTACCCTAGATAAAGTTAACACTTCGATTTAAGAAAAAAATAACAAGACCCTCTGAGAAAATCATTAAATAAGTACAAGCGTAATAACCCTTTAGACTCATGAGGTAGAAACAACTTTTGCAAGCAGCAAATAATTCAATACTAGAAACTCACCTACTGACACATTTAAAACAATACGAGTTGTGATCTTTTAAAAAAAAACTAAATCAACTCATGAATTTCTCTAACATAATACTCTCAACAAGTAATAAATTAATTATCTACACATTTAATAGCTCTCCCACAAGGAAAATAAACTACAATGAAGAGGTAAAATAAACTTCATTCTGAGCAAATAAAAATACTATGAAACTTTGAAATTTCCCTAAACAAATTTAAAACAAAAAAAGGACACAATAAGATCACCTGATCTGGAGATGAAAATCTAGTGTGTACTTGTGGGCTTGATAGGTACATGACAATCACCTATTGAAACTATTCAAAGCAGAAAATGGAAATAGAGGTGCAACAAAGCAGAGCCAAAAAATGAGGGAGGGATAGAAAAGTTTCAAATAGAAAACCAATACTAAAAATTTGATATCCCTCTTTTAATTGTTTTTTTCTTTAAAGACTTGCACGAAATTGGGATAATGTTCAACAAGATAACAATTTAAAAAAAAAAAGTAATACTTAGAGAAGCAAAAACTTTGCTTGATCGTCGGATCACATGATTAAAGAACATTGACACTGAGAAAACATTAAGTAGCACTAAATAAATTTTTACATCTCCATTAATATTTGAAACAACTAACAATTTACAACAGGCTTTCAAATCATATCCTCATCAAAGGAATTCTTAAACTATTACTGCTAACTGTTGAGCGAAGCCCTATAACCCTAACAATTGACATATAGCACCATAACATTTTAACTCTCAGACACACAAGACTAGATGCTGTAGGAAAAATATGTTTGAACAACCCACACATTTTAAGTTACCAGAAAGAAAGGTCCTTGCCAAGGTACCCAATAAATAGGTTTAGAATGTTATGTCACTAACAATCTCACTCAGTACATAGTCAGACTTAAAACAATTTCTTAAAATTCAAATATTTTTAAATTCTGTAGCATCAGACAACTGCTACAAAACTCTAAATAATAACTCCATTTTAGACAAGGAGAAAAAGGTAGAACTTGCAATAAACAAATAAGGTCTCGGCTGCCGGTTCGCTGGCAGTAGGGAAGAGGGAAGTCAGGACAAAGAGATGCCAAATGATGTGAACCATTTTGACTGCTCTGCAAAGAAGTTACAAATCTTGCCTTAAACATAACCAGAGAAAAGATGTAGAACTCATCACATGTAGGTGTACTCACTACAACCGAAATTTTCAGGGTGATTTTTTAAGTTCAACTAGACAAAAGCTATGTAAAGGCAAGACTATGAGCCTGATGGAAAATAAAACTACCTTAAACTAGCTTTAACTTAAATGCTACTCATTAGCCTCCAATTTCTCCAATACATGCACCGAGTATAGATATATGGAAAAAATTTGTTAGCTTCACTCCAAATAAAGCAAACCATAATTGAAGTCTTGCCACATTTAAATGGTCTTAAACTAAAAAGTTGATCCTCCATTACTAAACGTTCATACTGATTTTATCTTAATGCTACATCTAGAATGAAGAATAAATGCTGCATCTGACCCTTTTAGTACTTGACACATGATTGCTTTAAAAGAACCTGCATAGCAAACCTTTAAAGCTGAAAATATTCAATTGGCTGAGCACTTTGCCCTAAACCATCATTTTACATCATCTTCTATTTTTTTTTTTCAAAAAAGAGGGGAAACCTCAGCTGCGTGGACATTAGTTTGACACACAAGCAATAGAAAGCAAATCAATTACCCTTGCAACACAATCTTGTAAGTTCAACTACTCAGCATATACAGCACACAGTTCAATTAGTGTTCCAAGGTATAAAATACAATAGTCAAGACTGAATTACTTCATATAAGAATTACCCCTTTTCATGGGAATTGATGTAACTGTAGTTGGACTTTGAAGCCTTCAAATTTTACTAAATATCCACCGCAAAAAAAAAATTTAAAAAAATCCAAAAGAATCTTACAATCTTGGAGTTTACTGTGGAGCAAGCTTTTGCTGAGGATTGAAAATATTAACAAGGACACAATCCTAATCCTCTTTGATGGCAATTATCATCCATGATTGATATAAAGATACACTCCCTCCCCCTCCCCTCCCATCAGCTGCAGACTTCCGAATATCTGACGAAGAAGCAATGATAGGCATTGCGGCGGCTTGTGGTTTCACCCACCCACCCCAAAATTTACACCCCCACAGCGATCTGAAAAAATGGATAAAAAAGAAGGTGGGGGGCTGCTAGGTACACAACACAAATATGAGGTACAATTAGCAAACTGAAGTGTACATACCTGAACACTTTCAAACCCCATAAGTGCTTGATAACCTTTCATGAAGCTGAGGAGGAAATTGATCCGCAAATCTCTTCCAATTCTCATCTCCAACTTGATTTTTAAACCCATGCAATATCTGTTTGTATAAAGTAGATGTAGTTAGTAAAACAACCTTGAAAGAAGAATAGTCTCATTACCTTCAGTTATCATTTACCTTGTGGAACATATCTTTAAGATCATCCTTTGGGCTAACCCAAGATGCAACAGCGTCACAGAAGAAAATAAAATCTTGAACAACACCAGCGGGATTGACAGTTATCATCTGGCACATTCCACGGAACGCACTATCTTTTTCTTCATTGTCACGAATATTTCTTAAGGACGAACACCTTAAATTGCAGAAAAATACAGGATCAAAACCCAGAACATGATATCATTAATATACTACGCAAATGTAAAATATTAATATTTAACTTCCTCTCAAAAATTGTAAAACCCATTTACAGCATGCTATGTTGGCTTTTTCTGAAATTGTTTTTCAGAAGAAGGCAAAGATTAAGCCCCTTTAAGACCAAAGTACACACAACACTGAGGTGAGAGAAAAGTGGCAGTACAGTAAGTATTTAGGGTCTTTGGCTTTAAATCTAGCTTTATAAAGCAGCAGTACAAGAATGCTTCTGAATTGCAACTGTTAAAACATCTTACAACTATTGCCTGAAGCAAAGTATGTTGTTGTGAAAGAAATAATGGTTGAAATAAAATAACTCAACAAAAATATAAAAAAATAAAATAAATTGCAATGTAAGCTTTTTAAGATGACAGTGAGGCTAAAGGCTGTGAAAATAAAATTGTCCATATCATGAACACATGATAAGGTTGAGGCTTGCAGGCAAGAAACAATAAATTCCAATTGAATATATAGTATAGAATCCTTGCACTGTCCAGTAATGAGAATATACTAAATGTAAGCATTTCTAAAAGAGAAGAATTTAGATATTTATTCATCTTAGTGAAGTTTTTCTACTTAGATGTCGATGTAGAAAAGCCACATCAATCCTTGCAATTTTAAGAGGAAGAATGGTGCATAAAACAGAATATGTAAGGTACTACTGAATCTAAGATACCAGCTGTCATCATAAGCTGATCAATATATGAATAAGACTGACAGTCATTTAAACCTTAAATGGTCTTTGGCATTATAATACCAGAAAGTGAGAAGGAAGCATAGGAAAGGAAGTTTCATGTTCTACTGGTTTGGTAAAAATCAAATGGCTTTGGTGAACGAATAAACTAAAAGAAAAGTAACAATTCAGTAATGATGACTTAACAGTGACTTAATTCCAGTCAGATAGGAACGGAAGCCAAAGAAACCAGCAGAGCAAAAACTTCACTTCATCAAGAAGGAGAGTAAAGTTAAAAAAGTAGTTTTAGTAGTAAGAAAATAAACAAAATTTACACACCACTGACGAACAAAGTGTTGCAACATGGGGGCGACGTCATGAGGGCACACATAACCTAGCCGGCCAATTGTAATTGCTAACAACCACAAAAGAAAAAGAAAACAAAATGTGTAAGTAAATAATTAAAAACAAAACTATCACTTGCACATATGAAATATAATACATTGTGAGTACGATAAAAATGAACACTAAGGTGTGGCATGGCAGATCAAGGCAAAGAAAGACTGGTCGATGTCTGAGGAAAGAATATTAAGTTGTGATGAAGAAACAATCTGCAATAAAGCTGTGACAAATTGTCAAACCAAATGGAAACCATTATAAGAGGTAGCAATAGGAACCTCAGGACAAGCAACATGCTTTTATCAAATAGGTTGAAGATCCAGCCAAATAAAAGGTTTCATCTACTTAGACCTGATCATTTTAAACGAACTGATTGAAAAAAAACAGCAAAACTGCAGTACTTAAGAAGAAAACAAAAAATTTCCTGCATTTAAAAATCCACCACAGAAGCTCAACTACCGCCAACATACTCAAATTTGCCTTTTAGAAAATGTTGCACTTGAACATTAATATTAACTAAGGAACTCCTGATTCTCCAAAGTAAAGCCAGAGGCACAGTGAGTCCCAAGCATGTACTAGCCACACAATTTGAGTTGTCGAAATCCTTGACTTTTCCCAGATCTTTTGGATATTTACTGAGAAAATATTCAGCTAGATCAAACAAAAATCTGCCAGAAACTCCAAAACAACAAAAATGTGACGCGTTATCAATTGTCCTGCCCAACATTCTATTTCTCTGACTTAAAACCTTAGCAAAGTGACTGAATGTCTTGTAAAAAGATTTTGAACATGTCAAGTACAACAATTTCCCAAGGTTACAGTGACTGGCAAAATTTCCAGTGCAAAATAAAAGATATGGGAGAATGCAGCCTTGCCACTACTGGCATCAAAAATAACACCATTCCATATCTGAGGTCAGACCAATTCACCGAATTTATAGGACCACAGACTATCCGCCACATGACGGCTTACTTCACAGCACCAGTTGCATTGGTAACTGGCAACTCATGTAAGATGCCAAGAGCCATCTAGCTCTTCCATTTGTATCAACAAATACACAGTCAACATCAAGAGGTAAAATTGCACTTGCATGGGCCGGATTACTTGTTTACTGTATAGGTTGTGACGAACTATATTTTCAAGTATGAGAAAGCTGCCTAGATATGGAATGATGTTATGCCAAAAACGATGATATGTAGGCTATTTCTTGTATACAACATTTCCAAGTCTTTGTAGCGTCGTCATGCTTAAACATTCCAAATAAAACAAACAGCACCAAGTGTTAAGACAGGTGAAAAAATATTTCCTCAATACTTTAACAATGATGTAAAAAGTATGAGCCAAAGGCTACATTTTAACATTTTTTTCTCTGCCAACTAATTGTTAGGTCTGAAAGGTTTTGTTGGGAGTGCATAAAACTAAAACAGGAGCCAATTTCATCCCAATCTGCCATTGATTATTTAAAACCTCCAAAATCAACCTATAAATTGAAAAAATTGTGAAATGCAATGCAGAGAAAAATTTCTGCAAGGCAGATGTGCGCAAATTAGTAAAATACCTCTTTCCTAGACAACCAACAGGTATACACTTCAATAACTGCCATAAACCAAGAGGGTCAAGACTGGCCAAAAGCAGGAATAAAAAAATTAAGATTTTACGAGCACCTCCAACCTAGAATGAACCACACTCCCTTAAGGTAAGCATCTCCTTACTCTTACAACCACAGCAGGTAAGACTTGTTTCAAGTGGGGTGTGCATTTATCACCCACCCTGAACCTACATACTGTATAAAAGTATATACGTTTCTATGACAAAGGTGTCAAAGCAAATTAAGTATGATGAACGCTGAAGTACATTGTTTGTTGTGCAAGTTATGATACTTACCAGTGTTTTCCAGTAAAGTTTTAGGTGTTTGCCCTCTGTTGATAATTACAATGAGCTGATTTAAGACCAATGGGACATAAGGGGCCATGTCTTGACCTGGATAATAAATAAAATAGCATGAATTTTGATAGATAGAAAATACTGTAAAAGAGAGTTGATGAGGGAAATGTACTGAAGAATTATACTAACCTAGCTTGACTGATATTTCACCAATAGCCCAAGTTGCGTTATTACAGACAGAGATGAATTCAGGATTCAGGTTCCCACCCAAAATTGGGAGAAATTCAGCTGAAAGAAAAATGAAAAGAAATTAGATTTGATACATGACATCGGAGCAGGTAAGAATGCACACAACTCACGTATGCAAGGATGAACATGTTGGAAACAAGCTTTGGTGAGATCACCAAGTAGAGCAAAGGATGACTGTCGTACTTCAGGCATAGGGTCTTGCATACATTGGTATAACAAATGCATGATGTTTGAGTCAACTACAAGTTTTTCAATTTGACCATTAAGGCCTTCTGCCAGTCCAGAGAGAAGATCAAGGGCAACTATCATGAAATCTTTGTCAGGTGCTTCAAACTGATCTGGGCTCTGAGTATTAGCCTAAGAAAAACGAAAAATTATTTGAAACCCATTTCCTAAACTGGTCAGTTAAACAATACAACAATGAACTTACAATGTGCTGATTAAGTGTCTGCTCCACTAAACACACACAACGTCTGTAGACTGGTTCACAATATGGAAGGAAACCTGACTGCAGTGCTGTGGCAACACTAGAAAGGCACTGAAATCAGAATAAAACATGTTAACTCATGATAAGAACATTTAATAAAACATGGCAGCACATAGCACATACTTCAAGTAAGGGGAAAAGGTCTTTGTCCTCATCTTTTAGAACATTCCATTTTTCAATAAGTGGAGGCATTAGTAAATTAATATATTCCTCCTTGTTTAAGTGATGTCCAACTGAATCAGCAAGGGTGCCAATAGCGTCATAAAGTATTAACAGATTCTTATGCTGGTATTTACTGAATGCAAATACAAGAGTTTCAAGAATAAAGCCAAGGTATGGCACAAGTTCTGTACAAGCTTCTTCCTCTAAGGTTGCAAAAGCAGAGCAGGCTGCCTCCTGCACTCTTTTATTTGCATCTAGAATTCTCTTCAGCAGCTGAAAGGTGGGGACACAGTTATTAATGTAACCAAGAGTAGGGAAAAATCATTTGAAACTGTAAAACATAACAAAATTAGATTACCTCATTCATTAAAGGTTTAAAGTAAAGATCATGATTTTGAGACACAACCCAATGTGAGTATCTACTTAATGTCCAACAAGTAATTGCTCGCACAAGAGCTTTTTTATCAGAAAGGCAGTTTATCAGATAGGGAATGAGTTCACCCAGATGTGGAATCATACCTTGCATGCAACCTGGAAGTAATGGGGAAATGTTTATTTTGGACATACAGAATGCCAGAATATTTGACAACTGAGTAAAAGTACTGCCTAATGCAACACACCTTCAGCTATTGCTCCAAGAGCCAAAATACCACTTTCTTTCACATCCCACTCATTGTGGAAAAGGGTCTCTTTTAAAATAGGAACAAGAACCGGCAGTAAATCTTCTCTGAATACATTTGCAAGACAGTCCAAAGCTGCAGCACTGCATTTTCCTGAAAGAACACAAGCAGATTCAGAAGGAATTTCAGATGTTAGGCAAAGCAGTTGTCACAAAAGAACTTACTCAGATTCCAATCTGACAATGAGTTGTCATCATCAAGGCCATCATCATCATCATCTTCCCCCTCCTCCCCATTTTCTGTGTGTTTGTGAGTGTGAGTACGAGATTTGTGAAAACGTGGTCTAATGTCTTCCTCCCTGTCTGGTATCATTTCGTCTTCTTCAACATCACCCTAGACAAAAGGCACATTTTTAGTAAACCCAATCAAATTTTACCAATTATGAGAAAGAAAACAGCACTTTTACCTTTAACAATATTATATCAATTTCAGAATATTTCATTCCCCGTACAAGAACAGGTACAAGTCTTGTGAGGTATGGGCTAAGAGCTTCTTTGCAAATATGTTGTTCAGCTAGAGACAGCCAAAATTCACATGCCTCCAGAGCTACAGCTTCATCTTGGTCTTGAGTGCGCATCAACATATACTGAACACAAACACAAAATAAGTTTCAAATTGATTTAAGAACAGTAAAAGAAACATAAGACTTTGTACCATACCTCAATGATGTTGTGCATGTGAGGAATCAATCTGTCCATTCGTACTTCAAGCAGCATGACAAGTGCCCTACAGACATTTTTCCTGACTTCTGGGTCATCATCTGATGCCAAGTGAAACAAGTTCTGAAATTTTAAAGTAAACTTACAGAGTAAAGAAAAATGTCAGACAGAGGGCATACCAGCAAGTAATTATTCTTACCTCCAAAAATGCATCAATATGGGTCATAAGAGCCTGGGTGCGACCAATGATAAAATTATTTACACAAGCTATAGCATGAGACCTGAAAAAATAAAACAGTCAGATAAAAACAAAAACAAAGAAAGAATTCAGACCAAAGCAAGCATAATTTATATAATACTAGGTGCTGGAACATTTTAATATAGACCCTACAGCATGTTGTTGGGAGGTCTACTATCAAACTCCACTCATTGGGCAAGAAGCCCTTGTGGTGTTAGCGAATCCTCTCACATAATCTAGCATCCTAAATGTACCACAATGCAGAAGTATATTCTGCATCGAAAATACTAGGTGCTGAAACATTTTAACATCCGCTACGTATCACGTTGTTGGGAGGTCTACTATCAAACTCCACTCATTGGGCAAGAAGCCCTTGTGGTGTTAGCGAATCCTCTCACATAATCTAGCATCCTAAATGTAACACAATGCAGAAGTATATTCTGCATCGAAAATACTAGGTGCTGGAACATTTTAAAATCGACCATATTGCATGTTGTTGGGAGGTCTACTATCAAACTCCACTCATTGGGCAAGAAGCCCTTGTGGTGTTAGCGAATCCTCTCAAATAATCTAGCATCCTAAATGTACCACAATGCAGAAGTGTATTCCGCATTGAAAATACTAGGTGCTGGAACATTTTAATATTGACCCTCTAGCATGTTGTTGGGAGGTCTACTATCAAACTCCACTCATTGGGCAAGAAGCCCTTGTGGTGTTAGCGAATCCTCTCAAATAATCTAGCATCCTAGATGTACCACAATGCAGAAGTATATTCTGCATTGAAAATACTAGGTGCTGGAATATTTTAATATCGATCATATTGCATGTTGTTGGGAGGTCTACTATCAAACTCCACTCATTGAGCAAGAAGCCCTTGTGGTGTTAGCGAATCCTCTCATATAATCTAGCATCCTAAATGTACCACAATACAGAAGTGTATTCTGCATCGAAAATACTAGGTGCTGGAACATTTTAATATTGACCCTACAGCATGTTGTTGGGAGGTCTACTATCAAACTCCACTCATTGAGCAAGAAGCCCTTGTGGTGTTAGCGAATCCTCTCAGATAATCTAGCATACTAGCTTTGACACAATGCCAAAAAACATAGTGACTTGCAAATGCTAGTTGCTACAACATTTCAACATCAAATAAACAGTATGTTGCAAACATCAAATACAAATTGATTTGTGAGGCCCTACAACACTCAAACACCTGGGGAGGTCTACTATCGAACTCCACTTATTGAGCAAAAAGCTAGCTCAGGCACAATGCAAAACAACATTATGATTCCAACACGCTATGTGCTGGTACATTTTGACATTAACTACATGATTTTACATGTTAAAAGGTGTACTGACAAAATTTACTAATAGTGCAAGAAGTATTTGGAATGTCAATGAGTTCTCTACATGCACAGGCGCTAAACCAAAACTAATCTTGCATTGAACAGCGTGGGAAGTTAAATCGGAAATTTATCAGGTGCTATGTAATTGAAACTACCATCGCTAGCAAACTTACCGAATTTTGGGGCTGGAATGACGGAAAAATTCTAAAAACTTGGGAATCAGGATATTTAGAGGACGGTTGAGGGCATCACTGTCAAGGAGCTCTGCTGAGTCTTCACAAATTTTCTGAAGTGCTCCAAACGACCCCTAGTTTGGTAGGATCATGTAAAAATAATTGTGTTAATAGACAGTTTAAGCAGTAACCGAAAGTTCTTGAGCGCCTTCTACTAATAGCATACCTCACAAGCATTGTAGTCAGCTGAATCTAGCAGGACAACTAGAGATGGAAGTAGTTCAGGCCATGATGTGAGTTCTCCTTTTGATGCAATGGTTGTAATTAGAATTCCAACAGTAGCTCGAATCAATGGCGAAGGGTCTCCAACAGCATTTAAACATTCTTGCTTTATGAATTCACTAACTTCAGGTAAGAACTTGTGAAAGTGAGCCTTGACATTATTTTTGAGTATGAGCCCACTAAGTGATCGAGTAGGTTCATCTAAAAACAAATTTAAAAAGAATTTGATTAATGTTCCCAAATATTTTAGTTCAATGGACTCTCCTGATGATATTCTCACCTTCGGATTTTAATTTGGTGAGGACAAATATAAGATAGTTGTTGAAATCTGGAAATTCATTTAGTTCTTCCAATTTCTACAAAGCACAGTTAAGGATTGAATACCAATGTGATTAGAAGACAAATTATTGCTGAGTGGTATCATGACAAACAGCTCAAGTCCAGCACACATGAAGTGTACAAAAGAAAAACTATTTATTAAAACTTGAGTAGATACGGAAGTAATTAAAATGTCCAAGGACATTGGCAACAAGGCAGAGATTGAGAAATCTGAATGCTATTGCACCCCAAAGACAAATGTAAGGTTAAGTCTTACAAACGTTAAGCAATAGAATTATAGGGCATGAGTTGGAATGCAATAATCACTAACTGGATAGAAAAGATTAGGAGGCATCGTTAACACGAACTCTTAGCGCTTCTACAAAAGTTAATGTATATGCATATCACTTTTGTCATTTGAATTCAGGATTCCCGGTGTTTCGGTTTCTCGCCCACTAAGATTACATATAAGGTATTTTTTTTCCGATGAAGTGGATAATTTTTTGAATGGCGTTAAAGTGACATACAAACTAAAGAATGGCAAAAATGTCGACGAAACAACTACAAGAGCGCTGACAAAATTTTAAAATCGCAAAAAGAAGGTTTGCTGCCGTAAACGCAAGGAGAAGGCACAATATAACCCTTCGGCATTTCTTCAAATTTAAGTACTCTACAAGCTGACTTTTTAAAATTTACCAAAAGGATACTTTTTGAACTGCTCTTTGAGTTGCTGTGTCGGGGGATTGTGACTCCTTCAGGAGCTGAAGAATTTGTTGAAGACCTTCTTCTTTCGGCTGCCACGCCATTTTCATTATTGACTGCAATACTACACAGGAAGTCAAGAGCCTGCTGCGCTACTCACACGCCGGAAGTTTATATGAAGAGTCACAATAGCATTTATTTGTGAGCCGTATTTTCGGCTCATAAAGCCCTGCAGTCTGAAAGGAAGAGGCATAATCCATCTTTATTTTTTTCTTTACGTATGAATTTTATCTTTTAAATAATACCGTACTAGTTTTGCTAGTTTTGTTGTACTAGTGTCAGAACCAGCACTCAACGAATCACGTCAATCCTCCCGTGATTGGCCAATAAAATGTCAACTTCTTCCGACAATTATTGGCGGTTCGATTCGATTTGGATGAAGAGCCCAGCACCACCGGATCAAGGTTGCACTGGATTGGTGAATCGTATTTGCATTCCCTTTCAACACATGACAGGAGTGTCGTTTCAGTTCATTTCCCATGCTGATTGCTTTTTTTTTTTTTAAAAAAAACAACACTATCTGGAGACTAGCGCAGTTCTTGCAAAATAAATATTTGTAGTTGTTGGTACGCAAAACTAAGGTTACAAAGGATTTAAAGGAAGATTCGACAAAATGCAATGAGATGGCTACCATATTTATTATTTCTCATAATTGGGTTGCTTAAGAAATCACAACAGGAACTAAATCTCTTATTTGCAAGGATCACAGTACACAAGTATTTATATACAAAAAGATATAAAAATATGTCAAGGTACTTTGCAACAAAAACAGTCTGACGGCTGCAACAGTTTTCAAACTATAGGGAACATTTGTGGCTTTCAACACGTAATGAGGGAGTTGTCAACAAAACATACATTTCATAATAAAATCCGGATCAGTTGTTTTTTTCACTGTTCCTTTCCGCCTGAACTTTTGCCATTCTTTGAATAGACTTTTGAGCAGCATTGTGAATTTTTGAATCAAGAGAATCTGAAGAAGAAAAGAATTGATGAAATAATATGTAGACAAAATGTGACAAACAATAATTTTTTCAAAGACAAATATTTTTTTAAATATCCTTTTTATTTAAGGAATATTTTATGATTAGACTTACATATTTTGTGTTGTCCTTGCATAGGGAATCTGACTGGTAAAGCCAAGGGATCCTCACATATGAAAACAAATGGAGAATCACTCTCCCCTTCAGGATACTTTTGCCTGTATTCTTCTTGGGCTAAACAGTCCGTAACAGTTACACAGCCAAGTAAACAGCCTGTTGGATAGTGCTCAGGGAATCTTATATTTTCATCTATATAACAGGAAAGTCAGACGATGAGGTTCATTATTTAGAAAATAATCAAAAGTAACTTTGACTAAATTTAGTGGAACTCACCTCTTTTCAAGAGTTGCATGACATTTTCACAGGTTTTAATTTCTTGTAGATCAGGTTCTTTAGCTGCTGCAGCAATCCACAGGCGGCCTCGATGAGCTGTGTACCAGTTGCGACCTTCATGCCTTTAAATGAGATTACATTAAGGGGGTAGGGTAGACAAAAGAAGCCACAGAAGGACAGGTCAATGACACAAGCTTACAACTTTATTCCAGATATAAGGAGAGATGCCCAAGGTTGGTGCATGCTCAGGCAACGTCCTGAGTCAGTCATTTCAAGAAATTCTTTGTCCTGAACTCTACTGGGTTGAGGGAAAGTCATATCACCCTCTGGTGTTGGTGATTTTCTCCAAGGCAGTTCACTAATAACTGACCTTTGGAACTGAAAAGAATAATGTTCATACATGAGTTGAATAATGAGCACTACAACTAGGCATAATAATTTAATATGAGTGAATTAATGCAACCATTCAGTAACATACTGTGAGTTCTGGGAAGTCAATTCCTGGATCAAGATTAAGATTTGCATGACCACCACTAGCTTGCAGTTCTTTGAGGGCTCTTCTGTCTTCCTCATCATTTATCATTTCAAGATGAGATTTCTCTTCCATCACTTGGCGGCCTAGAATAAATCAATTCACAATTGACAAGAGATTAAAAATTTATTAAAAACATTATCCAGGTGCCATGATCACAAATAAATTGAATCTGCCTTCTATGGAGCAAATTGCTCTTTGAGCCAAATTTAATTATTAAATAAATTTAAATGAATAAACACAAAATTATTATTATCAAAGTAGCATTCCCTTTCCTAACATATTCTAAAACTAACCAGCAAAGTCCAGGGTAAAGCGAGCTTCTCTCCGAGAGGCATGCTTTCGAGCTCTTTCAGCCTCTTCCTGGCTTTTTAATTTAATTTTTTCACTTTCTGAGAGCCAAACAGAATTTGAAGAATAGTAGTCACTCTCATCATCTATTACCTTGGTCCGTCGCTCGCTAAAATTGGAATTGAAACAAATGTTAAAAACACAACAAAACTATTGGTAGTGTGTAGCAAAAGCAGAGTTGGAGTATTACCTCGTGCGGTCATATTCAATTAAACGATTTCTTTGAGCCATCGCAGCATCCAAATCAGTAGGTTTGCCTTGACTCAAAAGCTTTTTGAGAAGACTTTCAGACTGGCGAGAATTTCTCTGAAGAACTTTCATTGCTTCAGGAGAACAGACCTTGAAGAAACCAATCAGATTCATGGTGAAAAAATGGGACCACTGTTGAGCGAGGCTTCAACAAACTATGTAAAAGATAGGTACCAAATTTCCGCAGAAGAAGCATGGTCCTGGCCCTTCTTGTTCACAAACTATTCGACCACATTTGACACAATTATTCACTAACTTGTGCTTGCTTGCTTGGCACTGACAAACATGTCGCCCTGAGATCATGAGTTATTATTAGTTTTAAGAGTTTCAGTTACTGTTGTCTCAATTTTAAGAACCTATTTTTGGAAACATATTGAGGGTGAAAAAAGACAAAGCTCAAACCTTTAAGGAGAACTGTGTCCTTATTTTGACCCTCTTGAGAATAAAGATTAACAAATTTTGGACGCTTTTTAATGGCTCCCTGGCCACCTTCATTTTGGAGTTCTGGTTCTTCCTGAGACATGCCAAACATTTCAAAGAAACAATTTAAATATTGTTTACGTCAGTTCATATTTTAGGAGGAATCTGCTCTGCTAGTACCTTTGCTTCATCTTTAACTGCTGGTTGAGAGTTTTGATTTCCTGTAGACTTTCTACTTTTACTAGACTTCTTATCTGTGTTACCAACAAAATAAATTTCTTCATTTTGAGGTTTCTTATACCCTAATGGTTGGTCACCTGTACTATCATTCATATTTCCTGCATGAAAAGGAGAAGAATAGAATTAATGATAGGTGTTGTCAGTAATAAGCGATATTTGGGCTACAGGAAATGTTCACAAACCCTTCAGTCGTCTAAGGAGGTCATCATAAAATTGTTTGTGCTGTGGATTATCAAAGTTCAAAAGAGATCGACAGTAGTCTTCTAGGTCTTGTGCTGTTTCCATAGAAACAATGTACCTGCGATAAATACATATGAGGTCGGCCAATATTCATTGTATTTTTGTTGTGCAATCGACAACTAAACTACTAAAAACCTGATATTTACCCAATCATTTCCTGTGGTACTTCAAAGCCCAACACCTTTGACAACTGCCCATGTATCCATTGTGTATTGGAGTTGTTGCTCATCTTGTATAGTGATCCTGATCCAATCAAAATAATGACGACCAGAACCTAATCTTGTCCAAATCGAAGCCAGCAAACAGTAGGTACCAGAGGTGCCAGCCAGACGCCAAGTGATGGTACTGAGAAGCCGGCCGAAAAACGTGATGACGTATCGCATCAAAATGATCGTTCAATGTATTTTTCCAATTCTGAGACTGGAATAGATTTTAAATGAGGAACAAGATTAGATGACATTTTTATTAACAAAATCAAAGCGGCAACACAAACATGAAAGGCATAAAACACATCGACGAAAATTTAACCTAGCTTTTAACCCCAACAAAAATGTCTGATTGCTCTTTTCCATTGAACAAAATTAAAATGTCAACTTCAAAACTGAATGCTTATTTTCATTTTTCATGAATCAGAAAATAAAGTATACCCGCAAAACAAAAACAACATCACCTCTTGCCTGTCAAGTCGGCCTTATGGTTGAAATGAGTGGTCGGGGTCGGGTCCGGGCCGAAGCAGAAGATGAAATTACGTCACGCCACTGTTTGGAAGGCTGCTGTGCAGTGTGCTGTGGGCGCTGTGGGAGAACCTAGAGGAGAACCGCGAGTACCGCACATGCAACAATTGATGATAAAAAATCTGTAAGTTAAGACAAAGCCTCCCCGGAGATACCAGTAGGAGGCACGGGCACATACGACTGCTTGGTTTTGACGTTCGTTGCTGGCTAATGAAATCTGTGCACTCTGAGGTGGAAGGAAGTATAGTAAAATTCATTTAAAGGTATTCAGAGAATTTATTGACAATTAATACAGATGGAAAAATTCACATAATGTGCTCCGCAGCAATAGTAATATATGAATGAAGTTAACAGCAAAATAGTGTGAGACTGCATGAAGGTAGTAGTCTAATGAAATTGGACAGATAAATGATAATTTAAAAGGCACCTTCCATCTCATTCATAAAAAAATTCTTTAGATAGATGCACTTTCTTTTTCAATCATTTAACAATTGTCACCATGGATAAGTGTGTATGCAGGTAGATCAGAAAACAACTGTAAAATGAATTACGGTAATTGCTACCAAGACATTGATAAATACTGTATCTTTTCTTACATGAATAAACGATTGACAAGAATTCAGCACCAAGCCATTGAGTATGTGCCTTCTTGAGAAGACAAATAAAAACATTAGAGAAATCCATCTCTCACCTACATAGTGCATCCGACCAAAAGATAGAGGCTGTTCAATGTGCTGAGGACACAGGGAACTGCCCCCTCCTCTCATCAGGAAGACTACACTACTGTCAAATATACCACCTTCCAGTGATGTTTCATACAGTTTTACAATTCTCTCTTTGACACGTGTACAATTGACTATATCACAGGTCAACTTTTGCTCCAAACGATATGCCTCATAAGCCTCTGCTGAGGGAAAGCAATTTACTACTCACTAATGAAGTATTTTCATAGCTGTACAGTTTCTAGAACTAAACTACATTTTGGATGAACAAGCCAAAACTTAAAATTAATAGTTACAGATATTTTTAAATACAACATGACATAATAATGAACATGATGGTGAATCTGTAGGAGCCCCTCTTAAATATAGAAACACATAAATCATAGGAACTAGATGAGTGATTCTGTACAATATCTAGTGAAACAAAAGCCCAGCCACAACATTATCACATACCCAAAAGCCACATTACTGAGACTCTTCCTTCAAAAGTTTGCAAGTGGCTGTTAAAATAACTGAAATAGGTAGTCAATAATGAATATTTAAGGTAAAATCATATGGTAAAATCATTAAGCTCTGTCATCATTTGTGCTTATTTAACTGACAAACAAGAAGTCTTGAAGCATGTCAGTTCAAAAAGCACAAATATCAGTCTAGAGCCAGGGCATAGCCTGTAAGTGGCTTACTTTTCATCTACCACATACCTACATATGTTCCACTATAATCATAACTTCTGTTCTGAACAGACAGAAGATAAAAGTTAATCATAAAAATTTTATCACATCAGGTGTGATGATACTTCAAAGTTTTCAGACGCTGTATTTCTTCTCAGTCTTCAGTCATTTTATTCTTGTATATGTCAAAGTACAGATGGCAACTGCATTAAAAACAGTAAGTAATATTTCAAATACGTATAAGGCTTGAATAAATAAAATTAAGAAACTCTGCTGGATACACATATGATGCAAATTTAGCCATTAAAATTTTTGTATGATGACATTTCATAAAATAAGTCTGAGTTTCTTTTTGTTAAGGTATCACTTTCAGGCAAAGGTTTTGAGAAGGCTTAGAAAAATACATATCAAATTAGAACAGAAATTCTCAAAACCTTTTACAGGACAGTTGGAGGTTAGCTGAGAACACTCAGGAGTGGAGAAAATGAGATGATTGGCTGCTGATAATTAATGAACACATTTTAACTGAAGTCAGTCTGGGCACTAGCACTGGTAACCTGGTAACTCTCAGCTTTGGCGGAAGGGCAAAACTTTCTTGGTCACGTACCTAGAAATTAAGAAAAGTTGTCAACAAATTCCTGACATGAAACCCAGTAATTGAAGTAAGATTAAAATGATAAATATGAATGCAACTTAAGTAAGATAGTTACCTCAGGATAAGTTTCAAGCTTCCAAATAGGTCTTAAGACTCAAGCTTAGGGGATGAAGGTCCAGACATCATTTTTCTCCTGTAAAATGTGTGCATGAAATAAAATGATAGAAATGATTTAGAACTAATAATTTAAAATGACCACACTAACAAGAAATAATGCAAATAATCTACCTTTTCTTCTTTTTGTGAGCAGAGAGTGACCCTTGACCACTGTCTGAGTCTGAAGAACAAGACGAATCACTAGAATCACTTGAGCTGGACGTAGAGCAGCTTGAAGAATCAGAAGCCACACCAGTATCTTCATTAACATCAATTGTAGCAGCAATAGCAGCAAGTTCAGGTTCTTTACCCTATAAGAATTAAACATTTATCAGTATAGAGAAAAACTTGATTTCTTACATGCACCATAATGTCAAGCAAGCAAGTTGTGGCCTAATACGAACCTGGAGAACTCTATACCACTTTTTTGAAAGCTTAGGCCTTCCTCTAACTGTTTTATGCCACACAATGGGAAAGTTTGTGCGTGAACAGAAATTCTGTGTCACAGCAATAGTAGTATCCAGATTTAGAACTACATGCCACCAGCCACCAGGAACAAATACAGTTTCTCCTGGTCCTTGCAATATTTCAATCTATACAAATACAAAAAAATCATTTTCAATCAAGTAGATTCACTTTTATAATATTAGTTGAATGCATAGATTGATAATAATTTAAAATTTGAACTCACAGGTTTGCAATCTGCTGGCCATGAGGGTAGTTGAGTCCTGGGATATATAATGTTAAACCATGTTATTGCTTCATCAGTCTGCTTGCCATCTTCTAAAGAACTTACTTTAATGATGTCTTTAGGAGTGTGTGTAGGAAAAAGGCACCAACTGCAACATTAAAAGAGGCTGACAAAATGTCCAGAAAGATTGGCCAAACTCATGCAATAATTAGCCTTTCTTGTTTCAAACTCACCGCTTGTGACCCTCCACAAGTGCATTCCAGGCACTAGTTCCAAGCGGATCAATGTGAATGCCAGTCCCTGACCTTGGTGGCCCCATTACAAACCAACGGTACGGAGGTCTCCGCTCTTCACCTGCATACTTAAACAAATCATCCCGAAAGTAGAGGGGAATATCAAAGTCATCTAAGAGCTTTCTTCTTCTTGGGTGCTGTAAAGTGAGAGTACACAAATGAAAGCATTCTTAAAAATTCAAAAAATGCAATGCTAGAAGAGCTGATTCTGGCAAGTAGAGTGCAATAATACCTCTCCAAAACTGCTATCAAATATGTAAAGTGGGCTATCATCCTGGTTAGCACCCATATATTCAATAAAATATTTCATTTTCATCTTCACACTGTATCCTTGATTATCCTCTCCACATTTGAACTTTTGGTTCCTGTACTTTTTACCAAGTCTCTGCATAGCAAGATCAATATTAAATATAATGAAAACAGTTGGTATGCGGTGAAGTTAAACCTATAGGTATTGGTTCATCTGAAAGAAAAGTATTGAGGAATGAATCTAGTTACCTCCAACGTCCATTTCTCAATTGCTCTCCAACCGTCTTGACATCCAGTAATAACAACGGGTTTGTAAGGCTTCTCAAATTTATCAATGAATTGCTCTGGGGTGACATCATTGACATTTATTCTCTCACAGGTGTCAACAACTTTTGTGAAAGGTTCAAATTTATTATAATAGCCCAAACGGTACCAGGCACCTTTATCGCTCAGTTCTGAAATAACAAAAACCAACTCATAGTAATTCATGAACTAAATTCACAACTTGCTTGATATGGATCCTAAAAAAGAAATATAAAGACAAATTTCACAACAGATCACTAAACTAAACTTGACTGGGGACTGTCATCGCAAAATACAACGGAGACATCACTTATACAGTGAGAAATCTTCCAAATCTTTCTGTAACGTGATAAAAATTTGGAGGTTAGGTTCCTCTGCCCGGCTTCATGCTAGAATCGAAACGTACATCAAAATAAATTTCCGAGAGAATCGTGGCTAGTATTTCGAAATAAAATCTATACTTCTCTCACAGGCTTAAAGCAACTTCGAAGATTACGAGAGAAGAGTTGGGTTTCGAGTTCAAGTGTCAAGTTTGGTGCAGAACATCACGTACACCACAGACGATTCTCAGGTGTAAGTTACACACTGAAATGTGAGGGACACGCGAGTCTCACCTGGACGAGCCTTCTTTTTCACCTCCCTTATCCTTTTCCTAGTGCGTCCGTGAAGTTTGTCGTTGGAACTCATCCTGAATTACGCTAAAATTGTTAAAACTCTGTGCGAGCGCAACACTTGCGCTGTGCTGTGCCGTGCCGTGTCACTCCAGAAAATGCGAATCTGAATGTAAGGTAAGGTCGGTGTTCTTCTTCTTTTGAATGGCTGTCCAGCTGGGCGGTCCAGCTATCCCTGTCCCTGGCTGCCTACTGTTGTGAGATTTGACGCATTTAAAATCTAAGATCTAATTTTTAATAAAGTGTCCAAAATAGAACATAAATTTGTGCGCATATGTCCTCCGAAAGGGTTGGATTGGGATCGCATAGGCAGGGGTGGGGTAGGGGAGGGGGAGGGAAAAGAGAGGGGGGGGGGGAGGCAGCGAGCCAGCAGCCGCGACCAGGTCCGTACATAACCCGCTAGATGGCAGCACAGCACGCGCCACGCTCCGTCCGTCTCCGTCTTGGACGAATGCTGCTCCGTGTGGGGACCAGCGACCAGCCTAGCTCGATGACGCGTATCACGTATCACCGTCACCTGTTCTGAATCACTTTTGAGGTGATGATTTGGTGATTGTTACTCGGTCCCGTCCTTTGACTCAGCACGTCTATTCAATGATTTGAGAGGGATTGGAAATCAAGTCACCCGATGGGCCACGACCACCAGAAGCCTATATGGAGAATCTGTCTTCGTCTTTGAGTTATACACCTCTCCTGTGGGACCTGTAGGACTTTGGCGACTTGAGATTGTCGCTGCCAGCCTCGGGTGCATCTAGGAGATAGACTTCGTGGTTTGCTGTGGCTGTGGTGATATTTTACCAAACCCCGGACACGAACCACAATCTGAAAAGGTAATGCACACCGCCTAAGTACCACAGTTGGTTCCGGTCCGGTTCCAGGGGCACCATCATGGCACCATGTGTCGGCCTTGCCTTCTTAACCCTTTTAAACTGTAGTGCACAAATGAGTCATCTCGTTTGTATGACTTCATGGTGACAAACCTGGTTAGCTTGTAGGGCGGTTTGGTGCGCAGCCAGACATGAAATAGATAACCAGAGAACAAACCCCGTTGATCACGAGGGTCTTCCAGTTTGGCGTATGTTTGTCGCCCCCGTGAGCTGGGCTCACCAGCCCGACCCACCCCACTCCAAGGATTGCTTGGTTTACACCGAGTAAATGTCCCAGATAAAGAAAGGGGAGAAACGACGGCGTGCGAGTGAGTGACTGTGGTCGGGGGAGGCAAAAAGGAGGGAGGGAGGGGGGGGGGCCTTTCGCCGGCGTAGTTCGGGCCGATAATATGGCCCGTCTTCACGTTAGGGTGAGTGCGGCGACGGTATATTATTTCGTCAGAATGCGACCCATCCCATGTCCGCGCTGGATAACCATTCTATGGGCGGGTCGCGCCGGTGTGATGGACGGCTTCGATGCGATTTGACGCGCAAATGGAGGGTTGCAGGGCGGCGCGGCCCGAGCGGCCCCAACAGCACCCTCGAGCGCGTTTTGTCCCCATCATCAAGTGTGCGTGGCACGTGGTGCGTGGCCCTGCAAACGGGGGGTGGCCGGCAGAATAAGACGCGGAACACCCACCACCTCTCTCTCGGGTCCTCTGTTTTTTGAAACTCCGCGATGTGCTTTGATGTCGTTTGTGAAAAGGTCGCGCTTTGACGGCTACGTTCTCACGTTCCGGCTTTGTTTTTCTCAGTATGTTATCCATTTTATTGTTACAGACGCACGCGCGAGCCCTCTGCTAAGGAGAAGGATCGGATCATCAGCAGCGACACTCAGCGCCCCGCGTCGTCACATACGTGCGTTGGTGAGTCATGTGTGCACGTAACGCGTTATTTTAAAATTTTCCGAAGTACTCTCGTGGAAAACGCTCTCATAAAGTTGAGGACGCTTGGACGCTTCAAGAACGCTATTTGCAATTTTATTTTCGGGTTAGCGTGCTTTTGTTACGTGTTACGTTCCCCTTGGTCTTGTGAAAATCATACATTATGTCTTTTGAACGTTAGATAGCGTTCTACACAAATCCAACTACTACCGGGGGGAGGGGGGGGGTAACTAAATCGGTAACTGCTGTGCGTTGATAGCGGTTTGGCAGCTGCTGCAGTAATGATAGTAGGACCCAGTAGGTCCTACTATCCGCGAGTCTATGATGAGTCACTTGAGGTCGTGGCCGGGGGCGGATAGGTTTTTTTTTGTGTGTGTGTGTGGG